CCCTGTCAAACCCTGTCCCACCCTGCCCTGCTCCGCCCTGCTCCGCCCAAGCCTGTTCCTCCTCACCCCGCCGCAGCTCGGCCCCGGCCCCGGCTGCTGCCCCGGCAGCGCCATCCGTGCCCGGCGCCGTGGAGCCCCGCCTGGCCTCGGCGCTGCTGCCACCCTCTGGCAGCCGTGCCCTTGGGCGGCAGCGTGCGGCAAGGGCCCGGCCCGAGCCCTGCCGGGGCCAGGAGGCCGTGTGGCCACAGGGCTGGCAGCGCCGCTGGGCTGGCAGGGAGCTGTGCCGCTGGCGCCCTGACAGGCTCTGTGTTCTCAGGGATGGCCGGGCGGCACCTCAGGGGCCACAAGCGACAGCTCCGCCACATCTGTCAGGGTGAGTGAGGCCAGCGGGCTGCCAGCCCCGGCTGCCGGGGGCAGCTGCAATCCCTGCCCCGCAGCCCATGGCTCTTCTCCCTGTGCGCAGCAGGGCTGCCGTGGCCACAGCACACGCTCCCATTTCAAGCCCAGGTGGGGCAACAGTGTCCGCTAACTTCGGGCTCATCCCTTGCTCCCTGCTCCCTCCTGGCCATGGACAGAGCCGGCTGGCATGGCCCTGCCTCGGGGGTCTCCTCGGCTCCCCAAAGATCCGGGATCTGACCGTGCCTCTGTTCCTCTCTCTCACAGCCCTTGAAGACAAGGCAGAGGACATCAGCCCTGCCACCAGAAGCCTGGCTCTCAAAACAGCCTTTGTCCTCTGGGCTGTGGAGAGAGCTCCGGGCTCCATCTTGCAGAAGCTGCAAGATCAACTTTGCAGGGCCCGCAAGAAACGGCCTTGTCCCTGGGGCCACAGCTGGATGTGCTGCTGGAGCTCTGAGGAGAGCTGATTTGAGAGGCTCTCTGTCTGCTGGGGCCTTCTGAGCCGGGGGGATTCTTCTTTTCATTAAGATTGTTTTATTCCTTCTTTTTCGTTGTTCTTTAGGATATAAATGTAGAATGTGTTCTAATAGCCAGACTCCCAGGAGCTCTCTTTGGTGCCCAGGGTCCACAGGGCACAGGGGAAGAGGGGAAAAGGGGTCCTTGTGCCAAGCGAGCAGCCCTGGTTTGTGGAGTGGGGAAGGAGAAATGGCCAGAAGCCCCTTGGCCTTGGGTGGTTCTGCTGAAGCCTTTGTGCTGGCGACAGAGCGGCCGGGCAGGGGCCGGAGCTGCAGGGATCCCTGCTGGACCGGTGCCTGGAGATGGCCACGAGCCCTCCTGCCCAGCCAGGAAGGGCCATGTGTGTCCTCCTGCCTGTGTCTTGCTGGCTGCATTGCTGACACCTCTGAGGTGCCTCTCGATGTGGCTCCTCTGGAGCTCCCTCGGGCCTGCGCCGCTGCCGGGCAGCTTGGCCAGGCTGGGGGAGATCCTGAGGGGACGATGGGGCAGTGGGAGGCCGTGAAGGGATGAGGTGCTGCGGAGGCCCTGACGGGACAAGGAGCTGGGAAGGCACGAGGGCCCTGTGGGAGGGAGTGGCTGGCAGGAGGCTCCAAAGGGACAGGAGGCCCCTGAGGGGCCGGGCTGCTGGGAAGCCCTGAGGAATTGGGTGTCAGCCTTGTTCCTGAGAGCCGGGCGCTTCCCCAGAGAGGCTCCCACGCCTGGGGCAGAAGCCCTGGTGGCTGGGCCTCAGCAGGAGGGTGGGGACCCCCCGAGGTGTCCAGACTGGCCTGGCTGGGGACAAGGAGGGCAAGGGGGCCCTGCCGGGGCACGGTCACTGCTTGCTGCCAGGGCAGTGGGCAGAGCAGGGCTGGCGGCCAGCCCAGGCCCCCGCGGCTGCCCAGGCCATGGTGCTGAGGATGAGGCCCTGCTGACACAGAGCTCTGGGCCCGCAGAGCTTCTGCCTCTGTGGCCAGGGTGGCGATGTCTCCTCAAGCAGGGCTTCTGAGTCGCTGCTGCCAAAGCGGCTCTGGACGCCACAGAAACAGCACCAGAGCGCGCCCAGGAACAGCAGCAGTCCCAACGCCGGCACCTGCTCCAGGAGGCATCTGCACCAGCCGCCATTCCAAAGGGGCCATACTCTGGGCACTATTGCATGTGATTTAGCAGAAGGCTTCAGTGCACTCGGCCACAATGGCTTTCCCTTGGCTTGCCAACCTCATGGCAATGCTTGGCAGCTGCCGCTGCAGCCTGTGCCCCTGACTGACTACAGTGACTGTGCTTGAGGGCAGACTCGCCTTCCACTGGCAGACGTCCCAAGGCAGCGGCATTGATGCCATCATGAGAGGGAAATGAGGCTGCACAGAAGCTGCCGTCCCTCTCCTTTTTGCAGGCACCTTAAAAACACCCGCATGAACTTCTAGAGCAAATCCTGGACTGGTCTGGAACAAAGGAAGCAGCAGCAGGCGCTGAAGAAAGCCAGGCACTTGTGGCCAACATTCAGGTCTGAAGGGAAAAACTTTGGTGTCTGCTGAGGACATGGCTTGTTTCACAAGCTCAGGCTTTGCTGCTGGAAGATCCTGCTTTGCTCTTGCTGGAGCCCGTTCCCTACCAATGCAGGGGCTTCCATCGTTCCCGGATCAAGTCTGGTGGACCTGTGGGCAACAAGTCTGTCCCGTGTGCATCTGAGAGCAGAAAAGAACATGACATGGCTGCTTCCAGCACTTGCCTTGGCCGTCCTTCAGGGGGCTGGCAGCATCATCAGAGACACAGAACAGCTTCTCCTGCCAGAGTTATCCCTATCCTCTGCACTTCCCCAGGTGTCTGTCTTGATGTTCACCAGGGACCTCCCTGTTTGTGGCCGTCCTTTGCCATGCTCAGCAGGCAGCCAGTTGTGTTTGCACATGAGCTGCCACAGGAAGACACACAGTAAGTGGAGCGTTGAATAGCAGAGGCTGGGCCAATTCTTTCTCTTTCTGAGTGCAAGAAAGACAGAAAAGCACACGGAAACACGACAGTGTTTTGGTGGAGTCTCTTTCTCCTGTGAAATTCTGTAGCTACTGGTCTTTCTGTGCTACTGCTAATCCCTTCCTTGAAAAGATCATTCCAGGATGGAGCAACATCATCTGACACGTACCAAGTGTTGCCACCAGTTGCTCCAGGTGCTCCTACCAAGAGCCCCTGTAGGATGGAGCCCAGGCCCCAGTGCACAAAGTCGGCTTTGGCTGCCCTCTGGCAGAGAAGCCCTCTGGAGGCACAGGTCCCTGGGGCAGGAGATGGGCACCAGCACTGCCAGGGGCTCAGGGGGACTCTGCTTTGGTGGGGACTCTGCCACACCTGCTGATATCAGGGCTCCCTGGGCCCCAAGGCTCAGAGCAGCATTTGTGCCCTGGCTCACACATTCCTTGTCTCTGTCACACGGTCACACTTATCACCAGTGTCACTGAGTCCTGTTCAGACGATGTCTTTGCCTTTCAGTCACTTTGCATTGGCATGTGGGGCACTGATATGTAATACATTGTTTCCAAAATTTCTGCCGGACCCCTGTGGAACCAAACCCACCCCTCTGTTCACCTATCAGGGGTGCAGATATGGGTGCTGTTGGGGAAAGGATTGTTATAAATACATATTATAATATTGGCTTTTTGCAAATATTAAGATGGATTCTATATGTATATTAGAGTAACTTTGCTATAAAAATATAGGAGTTTTTCTGTTCTTAACTAAACCTTGACATAGTAGAGAAATAGGTGATATAGGATGCTTGTGTTAAACTGCCTGCTTGGTTGGGATAACATTCAATGAACATATGATGGAGACCCCTGCTGCTGACATGCCAATTATCAGCACCCTCTGTCTATAGAAAAATGGACCAAAGGCCAAACAGGAGGTGATAATAGGGGGGGACTATAACCACAGCCATGAAATGCACATGCTCTGAAAAGGTGGACCCACGGAGGAGCCATGCTAAACAATTCTTGGAACATGTAAACTAGTTTGGGGAAAAGTTTAAATATGCATAATTGGTTAAGACTATGCAGTAGACTGATACAATCAAAAGGGTATGGAAAGGACATCTCTGAAATAGCAGGTGTGCTCTGGGCTGAAGGCCAAGCATCTGGATGAAAAAACTTGGCTATAGTCTCTTTGTCTCTTATTGTCCTTTATTCAACTTTTAAATTTTTACTGGAGACTGAACCTCATTTTTCACAGTGGGGATGTGTAAAATGGGGCTTGGGGTGCTCAAATGCCTCAAGAAAGCACCAAAAAAACCCAAGCACCACACTCCCCTCATGCCTGGGCTGCTGGTCCAGCAGCTCAATTAGAAGAGTCCTCCAGGAGCTCAGGGGAGCAGCAGCCCTCGTGCTGAGGCACAGCCTGTGGAGAAAGGGGTCAGTGGCCCAAATGTGTGCTCTGGAAATCAGAGCTGGATTCCTAAATCCTATTGGAAGTGTCTGTAATAGACCTGTGGTGGCTGAGGGATGTACGTGGAAAGGGTTTGGCAGCCTGGAAGTGGACTTGTTGGTGCTCTGAGCTCTGTTGTGTCTGGGAGCCTGTTCCTTTGCCCTTGCCCAAGGGCAGAGTGTTGGTGAGGGCTGGAGTTGGAGGCTGTGTCTGCCCCGAGAGGCGGTACCGTGGGGCTGCAGGTGCTCCTGCCAGCGTGGGCTTGTCTGAGCCGGGCCTTGTGCCTCTTTCTGGAGCTTGGATGGGAGTTGAGCCAGGGAGGGCCTCTCCAACAGCCCCTGGAATGCTGGGCTTCGGGCCCTGGCAGCCATCACAAAGGCCGTGGAACGTTGGGGGTATGACCCTGGCAAGTGTCACAAAGGCCATGGAATGCTGGGGGTTGGATCCTGGCAACAATCAACAGCTCCTGGCTATTGGGGTTTGGACCCTGGAGCTGTCAACAGCTCGTGAACTTTGGGGCTTGGACCTTGCAAAGGCCAACGGCACTTTGATTGGGTGCTATTGACCCTGCAAAGGCCAAGAACCTTTGGAAATTGGTGTTTACACCCTGCAAAGGCCAAGGGCCTTTGGATATCTGGGTGTAGACCCTGCAAAGGCCAAGGGCCTTTGGTCACTGCTGTTTCCTCACTGCTGGTGCCAAGGGGCAGATGGAGACCCGGAGGGTGAGTGACAAAGCCGCTGCTCTCCTTGTGCCAAGCCCAGCAGCGACCTGGGTGGGCCTGGGCTGTGCCTCGGGGAACAGTTCCCTTTGGGATCTGCAAGGGATTAACTGTTGGCTGTTCCAGAGCTGGCAGCAGCTGGGGTGCTTGCCCTGGGGACAGGCCTGGGAGGGAATGGGGGGCTCCTGGCTATCCCAGAGCGCAGCCACATCTCCTCCACTCTCCTTGTCCCACTGGAGGCCGTGGGCACAAACAAGGGAGCAGCTTTTCATTGCCTTCCCCTCACCCAAATTACAGCGCAGCCTCAGCGCTTCCCAGAGTCAAGAATGAGTTTCTCCCAGACATCTCCAAAATGATCCCCAGTAGCCCAGAGGAGGTCACAAGGATGATAGGAAGATGCTGCAAGGGCTGGAGCACCTGTGCCAAGGGAAAAGGATGCAAGAGTTGGGGTTGTCCTGACTAGAGAAGGTTCCAGGGTGACCTTAGAGTCCCTTCCAATTCATGAAAGGGCTGCAAGAGAGCTGGAGAGGGACTTAAGCCAGGGGCCTGCAGGGACAAGACAAGGCTTCCCAGTGAGACATGGCAAGGATGGATGGGATATTGGGAGGGGATTCTGCCCTCTGAGGGTGCTGAGGCCGTGGCACAGGTTGCCCAGAGAAGCTGTGGCTGCCCCTGGATCCCTGGGAGTGTTCATGGCCAGGTTGGAATGGGCTCTGGGCAGCTCCCCTTCTGGTGTTCTTAGAAGTGATCAGACACCTTGCAGCATGTTGGTTTGTGCTGCTGTCAAACTCCTGGGCTGAAAATATTGCCAAGAAGCGGAGGAGGAGCTCAGCTGGAAGTGCTGTGCTCTGGAACAGGCTGGGAAGCACTTAGAGGCAACTGCCTCAGGGGCAGCCATGCAGTCTGAGTGTGCTCTTCCCTGTGCACTTGCAGGGAGCTCGAGGGCTTTCTCACCAGGGACGTTCCTCCAGAGCCCCTCAGGTGAGTAAACTGTGCTGAGCTGGCTGGCCTTTTGAAACTGGTTCTCCATGAATGGACACTGGTTCTTGTGGGATCAGAGGAGGCATCTCAGTGCTACTTTGGAACAGGAACAGAATACCTGACTAACAGCTGGATGTGGCCTTTCAGGTGCTGGTAGACGGCGGTGACAGCATGGCCAATTCCATCATCTGCACCAACAATCCTGGGAACGTCCTCTCAACTCTGACATCCACTGATGAACAGCATCCCTTTGAATTGGCTCGGGAAGCTACAGAGAATTGTGAGCGCATGTGGCAACAGTTTGATCAAGTAGAGGAGAGAACCCAGAGGATCAGAAGCCAATACCAGCTCATAGACTCTCTGTTAGCAGAAATCAGAAGGTGAGCATTTCCTCCTCCTCCTCCTCCTGCATTCCAGAGGCAATCTGCTTCCAGGTCTGGGAGGTCAGAGGTGTCCTGGGTGAAGAAATCACCTGCCTACCATGTGTAGGCCTCAGTGTGGCTCTCGAGCATTGTCCTGTCTGGGTTTTTCATGCTCTACTGGGACTCCCAAGGCTGTCTGCAAGATGCAGAGACACGTTGGAATAGAAGACTCCTTCTTCTCGTTGTGCTGCTTCCTTGAATTCTGTTCTTTGCGTGCCCCTGCCCAGCCACTGCTTGTCACTGAAGGAAGGCAAAATCCTGCCTTCCTTTCCCTTTGCCTCTGGAGGTTTCCTTGGGAGGGAAAGAGCAAGGTCTTCCTTAGCCCACTGCCCCCAGCTCCATCCTGGAGTGCTGAAAATGGCATTGCTGACTCTACAGGCCTCTTGCTTCTTCTGACTGGGCCTTGTCTCCGCAGTGACTGTGCAAAGTTTGAGAAGTCCAAGGAAATGCTGCTGCAATGCACTGGAATCCCGGAGACAGGAGCCTTTTGTCTGCAGCAGCAGAACACCAAGCAGCAGAAGGAAGCGTCAGCCCAGGCAGAAGAGGCAGAGCAGCAGGACTGGATGGAGGTTGGTTTTGGAAATGAGATGGTTTTCCCTTGAAAACTCGTCTTGCCCCTTCTTGTACAGTGGAGGACTTGGCTGCACTCGAGGGAGAAGGGCCATCCTTGCAGAGGCAGCTGGAAGTCAAGAGGCAGACTTTGGAGGAATTGCAGCTTCTGGAGCAAGGGAGGGATGATGGTAGCAGGGCTCTGAACACCTTATTGCTAGGCAGCACCTGTGGCAGTGGGAGTTGTGGCAGCCAGATCAGCCACATGCTCTTTCTGGCACTAGAAGACAGGCACACTGCTGTGCACACCTGGCTCAAGAGGGCACACGCATTTCTTAGCCAGGGATATGCATGTTCATCGGCAAAGTGTGGCATGCTTCTGCAAAATGTGTTGCTTTGGGCAGCCACAGAGCCTCTAAAAGAGGGAAGGGAGCTGGGGAAACTTTGAGGCCAGAGCACAGGTGCTCCTTGTCCTCTGGCTGCCTGTGAGGTGGCACTGGCTGGCTCTGCACAGGGTTCCCGAGGAAGGGCTCCAGCTGTACCTTGTCCCACTTGCAGGTTTCCCAGGAGCAAGAGTCATCAAGCTGGTGTCTGGAGCAGCTGAGCCAGGAATCCTCTGGCCAAGGACATGAAGTGGCCCAGGTATGGCGAGAGGAGGAGCTGCTGGCCCAGAAGGCTGACCTTGAGGGCCGACTGGCAGCCACCGAGTGGCTCCGACAAGACCTTGCCGGGCAGCTGGAGGAGACCAGGTAAAGGCAGGGAGTTGAAACTTTTCAGATGATTTTACATTCTGTGGACACAATAAGGGAGTCTCAGGGAAAAAAAAAAAGCCACCATGTGAGGGTCATTTTTCTGGCACCAAAAGCCAGCAAAGCTCTCGTGAGCCTTGGGCTCCTGTTTGTGCCACCGAGCACACTCCTGTGGGATGTCAAAAGCAATCCAGCCAGCCCTGAACTGAGGAGTAGTTGAACCATGCAGATGCTGATTGAAACCTCAAGTTTCTCTTGGGTTTGGTTCCTCGTTCTGGGCATTGAACATCCCTCGTTCCTTTCCGAGTCGCTTGACATGATCCTGACCTTCAGACCAGGAAGCTTCATCTTCAGCATTCCAGGCTCTTACCTTGGCATGTTGGGAGTAGCATGCTGCCATTCAGGGTGAAGCCAGAGACTCCTGCTGACCATCTTGAGGCATTTCTGCTTCCAAGCACACCCTTGAGAAGTGTGGGACAGGATGTAGAGCTGGTTAGAGAGCAGCAGGGAAAGCTCTCTGGAATTCTCAACAGCCTCTGGGCATTCTTGCTGACTGTTGATGGGCACCCAGCTGCCAAACCTGCCAAGGTCCCTTTGGATGGTCCCTCTCACTGTGCAAGGAAGGACAAGTCCCTTGGGCTACTGCCTGCTTGTTCAGCAACACTCAAATAAAGGCAGCAAGTCTACTCCTTGACCTTGCAAGAGTTGAAACTGCAGTCTCTGCATTCAGGTAGTTGCAATTTGGACAAAAGGCTGTTCTGATTATTTACAAGTGCTGCCACGACCATGAGATTTTACTGTATCTGCAAAGTAGTTCTGAAGCCTCGTTAAATACCGGGTGTCTGGAAGATGATGTACCTTTATGTCCATTATCAAGAGCATTAAAAAGTCAGGAGTCAGCCAGGACAAGAGTCTGTTCTGTCCCCCTGCAGAGCAGCTTGGAAGTGCTGATGAGAGAAGGGCCGTGAGCAGGGGCTGGGCTTTTGCTTGTTGCTGCAGCCTGTTTGGGAACAGCTACCCAGAGTCATAGGTCAGAAACAGCAAGTGAAGGTTTGGCTGTTGAGGCCAAGTTGGGCTGGGCTGCCTGTGCTATGGCAGGCCATAAGGAAGGCCTGGGCAGTCCCTCAGAGGCCCTGCTCTGCTCTGGAAATGGCCCAGATGTGCCTTCTCAGGAGGAGTTTCCAGCGGAGCCATTTTCCATCCTCAGGCGTGGGGATCTTGACCACGTCGTCCTGGAATAACCGGCTGTGGGTGTCTGGAGCAAGCAACTCATGTCTGTCCATCTTTGCAACTTGTAGGTCAGCAAAGGAGAGCCTGCAATCCAGGCTGTTTGCTGCTCAGCAGCAGATGGCTCAGCTGGAGATGACCTGGAAGCGTGTGGAGGCAGAGCTGCAAGGGGAGCTGCAGGGAGCTCGCAGAGAAGCCCAGGCAGCGCAGAGGAGGCACAAGGAAGAGCTACAAGGCCTCAAAGAGGAAAGGAATCTCCTCCTTGAGCAGAGGGAGGCTCTACAAAAGCAGGTGAGTGAAAGGGCAGTGGCTCTGCAGTCATGCAGCGAGGGGTCTGTGGCCTTCTTGCTTTTCCATGGCAGAGCAACAGCTGCTGGGGTGAGCCCTGGGGCTGTCTCATGGTCTGGGGGCTCCATGGCAGCTGCTCTGAAGGACACTCAGTGCTCTGCTGAATGTCAGCTGCTGCTCTGGACAGCTGGGCTAGTCCTCTGTGCTGCTGGCCAGCAAGCAGCAGCATGGATTCCTGCTGGCCTCTTCTTGCTAGCCTTGCTTTGGCAGGTGCTTTCTCAGGTGCCCTTGCGGGTGGGCCACTTAGAGACTGAAACAAGTTGTCCATATCCTTTGTGAATCTGGTGCTCTCAGGACAGGGAGGAGTGGAAAGTTGTCCTTTACCTTTGCTCACAGCCTGTGCTGTGGCTGAGTGTGAGAAGCTGTGGCTGTAGCCTCTGACTGCTTTGTTCTGTTTGACTGGAGGTGGCAGAGTTGACATCTCAGCTGGCAGCCTCCCGAGAGTGCCCGGAAAGGACTGCACAGAGAGCCCAGCAAGAGGGGAGGGAGACACAGGAAGAGTCCAGACACAAACTGATGGAGATTGAGCAGATCCAGAAGATGCTGGACGAGGCAAAACATCAGAACAAGGAGCTGCAAGTGCATCTGGACTATCTGGAGAGGGAATGGATTCAATGGGAAGAAATGGCTCAGCAAAATTCAGACTTGCAGGCTTCCGTCAATGCCCTAGAGAGGGAAAAAGCCAGGTAAATGAAAGCCTGGGGGTCTCTGCATTGTGGTGAATGGATTCCCTCTTAGCCATCATTGCACCTGCCAGGGGCTCTGGCAGCAGTTCCTAAGTGGCAGATTCTGAACTCTCCATGCAGACAGATCTCACTGTCTGGATGTTGTGTTTCATTTTTTTTTCTTTTAAGCCTTCAGATAAAGTTTTTCTGAAGATAAAGGCTTTGGGGGTAGCCCTTTCCCTCTAGGGGTCATTGTGTTGTTAGGTGGGTGTGTTGACACTGCCCGAGGTGCACTGTAAGGAAGGAGCTGCATACATCCATCAGCTCCACCTTGGAGCCTGTAACTTGAAGCCTTTGGGGTCTGGATCAGCCTGGCATCTGATGCTTTTTCTGGGCAGAACCATCTTAAGGCCCTGAGTGCTGCTCTAGGTTAGCTTGGCCTTGGAGGCAGCCCAGAAACAAGAATGTCTCTGTTGCATGGTTCCTCATCCAATGTCCCCTGCTGCCTGCAGGGGGTCAAGCAGGGTCCCTGCCACCCTGCACAGTCACAGGCATTTCTGACTGTGCAAAGAATGCAAGAAACAGGACCAAGCTATGGGGGGCTCCTGCAGCCAATCAAGTCCTGCCAGGCTTCAGTGCCACAGGATTCTTCCTCCAAGAAGAAGACAAAGCAAAGGCAGGGCACTCCTGCTTGCCTGGAGCCTTCTGCATCTTCCATCAGGTTGTGCTCCAAGTCTCAGTTGCCCCTTTGGCCTTTGTTTCTCCAGCTGAAAGTAGGATGGGTGCTGGTAAATCTTTGGGAACTTGCCAGAGATTCCCTGGCTCTAGGGTGCTGCTCCTCCTCCTACCTGGATGTGTAAGATGGGGGAAGGAAATGTCTCTTCCATGCTGACCAAACCTCCCTGCTTTGGAGCCTGGTTAGTCAGAAGAAAATTGTTCCTCTCCCCTAATGTCTTCATTGCAAGACTTTGTTAGGTTTGTATTGACATTCCCATTTCAAGAAGAAGGTATGGCATGGGGGCAGGAACTCGCTGTTCTTTCTGAGACAAAAGCAGAGCAGGCACATGCTGGGCTGGGACTGCAGGGGGAACAAACAGCCAAGTTGTTGAGACAAACCTCATCAGGCAGAGCAGTTTTTCCCTAAGGTGGTGCAAGTCCTAAGAGTTGCTAAAATGTGCTATCCTTTAGTAATGAGTTTGTTGCTTCCCTTCTAGGCTGATTCTGTCTCTGGAGGAAAAGGATGTGTGCCTCAGAACGCTGGAAGAACAGAACCTGGCACTGAACCATCAGGTGTCTCAGTGTCAATCTGCTCTTCAGCAGGCCAAACAGCTCTCCTCAAACCGCGCTGGACAACTGCGGGAGCTCAACACACAGGTAAGCTGTGCAGTGGCATCCTCTTCTCCAGGGACACACAACAGCACCTTTGCCTTGGAGGCCCCAGCCTCTTGCCCCTGCCAGCAGCATCCACAGCTGCCGTGTTCTGCCCGGGGCTGCTGCTGCACCCTGAGACTGAGCCTGGATCTGGTCTCTGCTGCAGAAGTTTTCCCCCATTCTCTCCCGGGTCCCAGCAGGAAATGTGGGAGGAGAAGCAGCAGCAGACTCCTCTGGAGCTTCTCTGTCCCTCTGTTGGCAGTGTTGTCCCAGACAGAGTTGGTGCCTGTGCCAGGCACTGAGCAATGTGGGGACACAGAGGTGGCTGTGGCAGGCTGGGCAGGGCACTTCCAGCACAGCCAGTTCAGCCGCTGTTCAGAGCTGCAGCCCAAGGATGCCCATTGCCTCCCTTTCCCTGTTTTCTCTCCATTTGCCTCCATTGCAATCCTTGCTTCTGTGCCTTCTGGTTTTGCTTGATGTAATTTCTCCTTCATTGCGCTCCCTGCGGCCCACTCTGCTGCCTCAGGAGCAGCCCTGTCCCTGAGGCTCTGTGCATCCATCTTCCAGATCCGGGCCCTGCAGGACGCAGTGCTGCAGATGGAGGCTTCCCAGGCAACTCAACAGAAGCAGCTGCTGAAGGAGCTGGAGGAGTCTCGAGCAGGAGAACGCTCTTTGAGGGACTCTGTGCACCTGCTGCAGGCTGAGGTGTCTGAGCTGCGTGTGAGGCTCCAGAGCTCTGATGACAAAGCTCTTGCCTTGGCCATACAGTGTGAGGCTGTGGAGCTGGAGCTGAGGAAGACACAAGCTCAGAGAGACAACCTCAGAGCCCGCAACCTGGAGCTGCAGAAGGAGTTGGAGGAAATTGAGCAAGGTACAGCTTCTCCTCTCCCACTCACTGCCCCATGCTGTCTCACCAGCTGAGGAGCTGTAGCTGGATGCCTCAGCTCCATTCCCCCCAAACTCCAGGCCCTACCAGAGCCTCCAGGCTATTGGCCTCTCTGGAGCAGGGCTGCACAGGCATCCCCTGTGCTTTGTCTCTCTTGAGTTGCTCACTCTGCACAAGGCCAAGAACAAACACACTCTCCTATCCCTCTGAACCTTGCTCCTTTCATTCCTGCCTTTTTCTGTGCCTGGAAGTTTCCTTCATTTCTGTCAGCTTTGGAGCCTTTGTGGGCTTAGGCCTGGCAATCACAGGCAGGTAGAGAAGACAGTGCTGTTGTCTCTGCAGGATGCACATCAGTTTGCCTTTGCTTTGCTTTTCCCCTTCCCATTTTCCCTTTCCTTTGCCCTCCCCTGCTGCAGATTGCGTGCAGGCAGAAGCCAAGCACATCTGTCTCCAAATTGCCCTGGAGAAGGAGGCCACTGAAAGGCAGGAAGAGGCTGTGGCTCTTCGACAGGAGGTGGCATCTCTGAGGAGAAAATTGGAAAAGCTGGAGAAGGAAAGGAAGGATGTGCTGGTGAGATTGGCAGATGCCACAAAGTGCCATTTCCTAGCTATGTTTGGGCCTTGTGTTAATAGTTCTAAGGAGCAGCTTTTCCCAGTTTAACTTTTCTAATTGCAATCTTCTGAATAAGGAGGAGAAGATGTTGTAGTCATGGCAAAGCCAGTTAATGCTGAGGCTGCTGATTTTCCTCCATGCTGGGCTTCTGTGCCCTAGAAATGTCTTTACTTCTCAAGGTCCTCAGTGTCCCTACTGACATTGCATGGTTTGGGGAATTCCTGGTGTCCAAACCCATGTTCAGATTTCTAACTATCTGGATCTGGAATGAAGGGGAGAGTCCCAAGTTTGCTGTTAATAGAAAGGTGTTTGGCCTTGGCCATGGGAGAGCAGCCAGTGGGGAGAGAGGAGAGGAAAGCCAAGTGCTGATCCCCAGCAGGACGTGTGCCTGCAAGGGGAGAACTGGTCCTGAGTGGCAGCAGAGAATGACAGACTGATCTGGCCATTGCTGCTCCCAGAGAGGGCAGTGGGGCTCTGGGGCATGGAGCCATGGGAACTCTACACAGGAGAGGTGGAAAAGCACTGCTGTCAGCCCAGCCCCAGGGAATGAAAGGCTGTGGCTGTTTGCTCTTTCCTTCCTCCCTGATGGAGAGCACATCCTCGTGGCACTGCCTGAATCCTGCTCAGCGGGCACTTGAAATCCTGGCTGCAGTTCTGGCAGCTCCTCCCCAAAGGAGCCCTGGAGTGGAGCTGCAGGAGGTCAGGCAAGGGCAGAAGGGAAGCTGGGATGGGCTGAGTGAGCTGGGAAAGATGCAGCATCAAGGGGGGCCCAGCAAAGCTCTGCAGCATCCCAAGAGGCACAGAGACAGGGGCAGCCTGTGCCTGCCCCTGCAGCAGGAGTCCAGATCTGGTTTGAAAAGCAAAGTGAGAGAGGGAATCAGGGAGCCTTTTCCTCCCTGTTTTGGCAGCATGAATGGGAATTGTACCAGCAGCAGATGAGATATCTGGAAATGGAGTATGAATTGCATGCACCTGAGATGAGAAATCATAAGGGAAATAATCAAGAATTTGAATTGGAGAGGGCAGGCATGCAGGAAGATTTGGAGCATGGGGCTGCTGCTTTGAAGAAATTGAGGGACAGCACTCAGGTACTGAGTGCTGCACTCAACCAAAGTGAAATTGCCAAAGGGGCTCTTGAGAAGGACTTGGACATCCTGAAGGGAAAGACTTGTATCCAGTCTTGCACTGGCATTGACCTTCATGTCTACTCCAGTGTCCTGAATTATTCCAGAGATGTTTTCCATGAAGAGGTGGGTCTCTATCCCTGTCAGTCCCGTTGGGTAAAGCAGCCTGGGCTGCAGCAGGCAGCCTTGTCTGTCTGCCTGGCTCCAGCCAGACACCATTGACTGCCAGATTGTTTCCTGGTATGCTGGAATGACTGATCCAGCTCTGGAGCTTGCTGTTCAAACCAGCTCCAGACCAAAAGCTGGGCATGGGGAGCTGCTTCTCCTGTGCTCACAAAAGGGGAGGCAATGCATGGGGGACTGGATTTGGTGTGGGAAGGAATGAAGCAGGTGAGCAGAGTGATGGACTAATGCCAGCTGAGTTTTAGATCAATAGCTGACAATGTTCAGCACTGCTGGTCCTTAGAGTCAATTGTATTGGCGGTTGTGGAAGATGCAGTGGTTGTGAGAGACAACAGTTTGGAGTAGGGATGTAGGGATGTTTGTTGGGAAGGAGCTGTCTGGGCCCAGGCAAGGCAGCAGGGCCTGCCACAGCACTTCCAAGGGAACACTGCCAGAGGTTTTGGCAGGCCAGGCTATCAGAGCTGCATGGGGCAGATGCTGTGAATCTTTGAGGCCAGGGCACAGGGGCTCCTTGTCCTCTGGCTGCCTGTGAGGTGGCACTGGCTGGCTCTGCACAGGGTTCCCGAGGAAGGGCTCCAGCTGTACCTTGTCCCACTTGCAGGTTTCCCAGGAGCAAGAGTCATCGAGCTGGTGTCTGGAGCAGCTGAGCCAGGAATCCTCTGGCCAAGGACATGAAGTGGCCCAGGCGTGGCGAGAGGAGGAGCTGCTGGCCCAGAAGGCTGACCTTGAGGGACGACTGGCAGCCACCGAGGGGCTCCGACAAGACCTTGCCAGGCAGCTGGAGGAGACCAGGTAAAGGCAGGGAGTTGAAACTTTTCAGATGTTTTTACATTCCGTGGACAGAATAAGGAAGAGTCTCGGGAAAAAAAAAAAAAAGCCACCATGTGAGGGTCATTTTCTGTCACGTAAAGCCAGCAAAGCTCTCGTGAGCCTTGGGCTCCTGTTTGTGCCACCGAGCACACTCCTGTGGGATGTCAAAAGCAATCCAGCCAGCCCTGAACTGAGGAGTAGTTGAACCATGCAGATGCTGAGTGAAACCACAAGTTTCTCTTGGGTTTGCTTCCTCCTTCTGGGCATTGAACATCCCTCGTTCCTTTCTGAGTCGCTTGACATGATCCTGATCTTCAGACCAGGAAGCCTCAGCTTCAGCATTCCAGGCTCTTACCTTGGCATGTTGGGAGTAGCATGCTGCCATTCAGGGTGAAGCCAGAGGCTCCTGCTGACCATCTTGAGGCATTTCTGCTTCCAAGCACACCCTTGAGAAGTGTGGGACAGGATGTAGAGCTGGTTAGAGAGCAGCAGGGAAAGCTCTCTGGAATTCTCAACAGCCTCTGGACATTCTTGCTGATGGTTGATGGGCACCCAGCTGCCAAACCTGCCAAGGTCCCTTTGGATGGTCCCTCTCACTGTGCAAGGAAGGACAAGTCCCTTGGGCTACTGCCTGCTTGTTCAGCAACACTCAAATAAAGGCAGCAAGTCTACTCCTGGACCTTGCAAGAGTTGAAACTGCAGTCTCTGCATTCAGGTAGTTGCAATTCAGACAAAAGGCTGTTCTGATTATTTACAAGTGCTGCCATGACCATGAGATTTTACTGTATCTGCAAAGTAGTTCTGAAGCCTCGTTAAATACCGGGTGTCTGGAAGATGATGTACCTTTATGTCCATTATCAAGAGCATTAAAAAGTCAGGAGTCAGCCAGGACGAGTCTGTTCTGTCCCCCTGCAGAGCAGCTTGGAAGTGCTGATGAGAGAAGGGCTGTGAGCAGGGGCTGGGCTTTTGCTTGTTGCTCCAGCCTGTTTGGGAACAGCTACCCAGAGTCATAGGTCAGAAACAGCAAGTGAAGGTTTGGCTGTTGAGGCCAAGTTGGGCTGGGCTGCCTGTGCTAGGGCAGGCCATAAGGAAGGCCTGGGCAGTCCCTCAGAGGCCCTGCTCTGCTCTGGAAATGGCCCAGATGTGCCTTCTCAGGAGGAGTTTCCAGCTGAGGCATTTTCCATCCTCAGGCGTGGGGATCTTGAGCCACGTCGTCCTGGAATAACCGGCTGTGGGTGTCTGGAGCAAGCAACTCATGTCTGTCCATCTTTGCAACTTGTAGGTCAGCAAAGGAGAGCCTGCAATCCAGGCTGTTTGCTGCTCAGCAGCAGATATCACAGCTGGAAGTCACCAGGAACCATCTGGAGGCTCAAGTGCTCACAGTCACACAGGCCAAGGAGGTGATAGAAGGTGAGAACCTCGTGTGCTTTGTTTGTGCTGCTGCACCTGACTGGAGAAGCTGAGCACCCTGTAAAGGTGTCTCTGTCCACAGAACTTCTGAGGAGTGGTGGGGCTGGAGGCTCTGAAAGGGCCTGAGGTCAGTAAAGTCAAGAACGTGAATCTTGCTGTTGGTCATGTTTGCAGGAGAAGTGAAGTGCCTGCAAGGTGAGCTGGAAGCAGAGAGAGCTCTCAGGAGGCAGGAACAGGAAGACACAGCTCAACAGCTCTTGCAGGCAGAGCAGCAGCCTCAGGAAAGCCTCAGGCTCCAGGGAACTGCTCAGCAACTGGAAATAAAGAAGCTCCTGCAAGACCTGGTAGGGGACAATATGCTTCTGAATTGTCCAAGCCAGCCCTGTGGGTTGGTGCAGCACAAGCAGAGGCTGAGGGTGTGAAAGGGCAGCAATTCTCTGCCAGAGGCCTCCCGCTGCTGGGCCGGGCAGCAGAGCCAGCAGCTGAGACTTGGAGGAGTGTGAAGGCCACCAGGATGGTGCTGGGACAGTAAATGCAGCCATGGCTTCAGTGATGGTGTAAGAGGAGTTCCAGAGCAGGTTGGGCAGTGCCCACCCAAAGCGCGGCAGCCCAGGGCAGGATCATCCCCGAGTGCCACCTGCCACAGAGCAGGTGCCAGAGTGGAGCAGATGCCAACAGTGCTGCTGGCTGCAGGCGTGGGAACTCGTTTCCTTTCTCCCTGTGCTTCCATGGTGGACAGAGGGATTAGCTTTGGGCTGGAAGCAAATGGAACAGGCCCCTTGTTCCTGGTCCTTCAGTCCTTGTGACTGGGGCATCAGAGAGGGGAAGGTGACACCTCCTCCTCTGAGTGCTTGGACTCGGTGCTTGGGAAGGTCTTTGCCAGCAGAAGAGGTTCCACAAGTCTGTGATTCTTGCACCTGCTAAGCCTCCTTTTGAATTCCCTGACAGGACACAGCTTCTCGAGTGCAGAAAGCCAGTGCTGTTGTCTTTTCCAGTTGGGGGTTGTGGGAGGGATGGAGCTTCACATCTTTCAGCCAGGAGCTTGCCTGGGGCTTCATCTTGCAAATTTTTCCTCCTCTCCTCAGGCAAGTGAGCGTGAAAGGCACCGTGCAGAGATGGAGGAGACGCTGGAGCAATGGGAAAAAGAGAAGGCAGAGAGAGAGCAGGAGCACAAGAAGGTGCTATTTGAGATGAGGCAGAAAGTTGCCACCCTGCTGGCCCAACAAGAAGAGCTAACGAGATTTGAAAATGCCAAGCAAGAGGTAATGATTGTGAGAGGAGAGCTGGTGTGATTTTTTGCAAGGCTGGAGCTGTGGGAGATGGCAGGATATGGGGCTGTGTGGAGCATGCCCTCTGTGTCTCCTGCATTGAATTAGGGGAGGTGAAAGCTGAACAGGGCTGTCTTTGGCCCCAGGAATGAGCCCTCTCATAGGAAGCCAGGCAGAAACATAGCTGTCAGCTGAGATTTTTGTGCTGCTCTTGTGCTCTGTTGTTCTAAGATGCACCTCAGGGTATCTTCACTGTTCTCCTTCTGCTGCCCTTTTGGTGTGTACTGGTAGATGTTCATGGCCAAGGTGAGTTTGTAGGACTTTTCTTTTGTGGGCATGGGAAGGGTGCAGCAGGAACGCTGACAAGAGAAAAATCTTTTAAAAGGCTTGCCTGGAGTATTTCTGAACAGTAACACAGAGATGTCTTCTGGGTTGTGTTTTAAGTTACTTCCTGGGAGCTGTGTCTCCCCCAGGGCAGGCAGTGGCCCAGGGGAGCAGCAGCCAAGTGCTCTGAGAGCCCATCAGTCTTTGCCCATTGCCACACGGATGCTGCAGGAGGAGCGTGAAGCCCTCTGCTCTTTCCTCCTGTGCAGGTCCTGCTGGAAGAGCAGAAGGAGAAGAGTGCTTTATCAGAGGCACTGCTCCAAACTCAGGGAGAGCTCAGCCGAGCCCGCCAGCAGGTGCAGCAGCTCAGGCAGGAGGTGACAGAGCAGCAGGAGAAGGGGCAGGTAAGTGTGAGTAGGCAGGCAACAGAGGGCAGGGCAGTGACAAGGGCACAAAAGGCAGCTCCTGGGACTGAGGAAGCAAGGGCTGCTTCAGGCCCTGGGAGCACAGAGCCTGGTAAGCTCCAGAGCTCAGCCCCAGGAAGGAAGGCTTGCAGTGGAAGCAGAGCTGGGTAGAGCAGCCAAAAGAAGCAGCTGAGGGAATGGGATTTTGAGGCAGCAAGTGGAAAAAGCTGAGCCTGAGGGCAGGTCCCAGGAAGTTGCTCTGCATTTTGTTGCCAGACCATCAAGGCAAATCTACAAGGGGAGCTGCAGGGAGCTCGCAGAGAAGCCCAGGCAGCTCAGAGGAGGCATGAGGAAGAACTACAAGGCCTCAAAGAGGAAAGGAATCTCCTCCTTGAGCAGAGGGAGGCTCTAGAAAAGCAGGTGAGTGAAAGGGCAGTGGCACTGCAGTCATGCAGCGAGGGGTCTGTGGCCTTCTTGCTTTTCCATGGCAGAGCAGCAGCTGCTGGGGTGAGCCCTGGGGCTGTCTCGTGCTCTGGGGGCTCCATGGCAGCTGCTCTGAAGGACACTCAGTGCTCTGCTGAATGTCAGCTGCTGCTCTGGACAGCTGGGCTAGTCCTCTGTGCTGCTGGCCAGCAAGCAGCAGCATGGATTCCTGCTGGCCTCTTCTTGCTAGCCTTGCTTTGGCAGGTGCTTTCTCAGGTGCCCTTGCGGGTGGGCCACTTAGAGACTGAAACAAGTTGTCCATATCCTTTGTGCATCTGGTGCTCTCAGGACAGGGAGGAGTGGAAAGTTGTCCTTTACCTTTGCTCACAGCCTGTGCTGTGGCTGAGTGTGAGAAGCTGTGGCTGTAGCCTCTGACTGCTTTGTTCTGTTTGACTGGAGGTGGCAGAGTTGACATCTCAGCTGGCAGCCTCCCAAGAGTGCCCGGAAAGGACTGCACAGAGAGCCCAGCAAGATGGGAGGGAGACACAGGAAGAGTCCAGACACAAACTGATGGAGATTGAGCAGATCCAGAAGATGCTGGACGAGGCAAAACATCAGAACAAGGAGCTGCAAGTGCATCTGCAGAACTTGGAGAGGGAAAGGAGTCAATGGGAAGAAATGGCTCAGCAAAATTCAGAATTGCAGGCTTCCGTCAATGCCCTAGAGAGGGAAAAAGCCAGGTAAATGAAAGCCTGTGAGACTCTGCATTGTGGTGAATGGATTCCCTCTTTGCCATCATTGCACCTGCCAGGGGCTCTGGCAGCAGTTCCTAAGTGGCAGATTCTGAACTCTCCATGTAGACAGATCTCACTGTCTGGATGTTGAGTTTCATTTTCTTTTCTTTAAAGCCTTCAGATAGAGGTTTTTCTGAAGACAAAGGCTTTGGGGGCAGCCCTTTCCCTCTAGGGGTCATTGTGTTGTTAGGTGGGTGTGTTGACACTGCCCGAGGTGCACTGTAAGGAGCTGCATACATCCATCAGCTCCACCTTGGAGCCTGTAACTTGAAGCCTTTGGGATCTGGATCAGCCTGGCATCTGATGCTTTTTCTGGGCAGAACCATCTTAAGGCCCTGAGTGCTGCTCTAGGCCAGCTTGGCCTTGGAGGCAGCCCAGAAACAAGAATGTCTCTGTTGCATGGTTCCTCATCAAATGTCCCCCGCTGCCTGCAGGGGGTCAAGCAGGGTCCCTGCCACCCTGCACAGTCACAGGCTTTTCTGACTGTGCAAAGAATGCAAGAAACAGGACAAGTTATGGGGGGCTCCTGCAGCCAATCAAGTCCTGCCAGGCTTCAGTGCCACAGGATTATTCCTCCAAGAAGAAGACAAAGCAAAGGCAGGGCACTCCTGCTTGCCTGGAGCCTTCTGCATCTTCCATCAGGTTGTGCTCCAAGTCTCAGTTGACCCTTTGGCCTTTGTTTCTCCAGCTGAAAGTAGGATGGGTGCTGGTAAATCTTTGGGAACTTGCCAGAGATGCCCTGGCTCTAGGGTGCTGCTCCTCCTCCTACCTGGATGTGTAAGATGGGGGAAGGAAATGTCTCTTCCATGCTGACCAAACCTCCCTGCTTTGGAGCCTGGTTAGTCAGAGGGAAATTGTTCCTCTCCCCTAATGTCTTCATTGCAAGACTTTGTTAGGTTTGTATTCACATTCCCATCTCAGAAAGAAGGTAGGGCATGGAGGCAGGAACTCGCTGTTCTTTAAGGGACAAAAGCAGAGCAGGCACATGCTGGGCTGGGACTGCAGGGGGAACCAACAGCCAAGTTGTTGAGAGAAACCTCATCAGGCAGAGCAGTTTTTCCCTGAGGTGGTGCAAGTCCTGAGAGTTGCTAAAATGTGCTATCCTTAATAATGTGTTTGTTGCTTCCCTTCTAGGCTGATTCTGTCTCTGGAGGAAAAGGATGTGTGCCTCAGAACGCTGGAAGAACAGAACCTGGCACTGAACAATCAGGTGTCTCAGTGTCAATCTGCTCTTCAGCAGGCCAAACAGCTCTCCTCAAACCGCGCTGGACAACTGCGGGAGCTCAACACACAGGTAAGCTGTGCAGTGGCATCCTCTTCTCAAGGGACACACAACAGCACCTTTGCCTTGGAGGCCCCAACCTCTTTCCCCTGCCAGCAGCATCCACAGCTGCCGTGTTCTGCCCGGGGCTGCTGCTGCACCCTGAGGCTGAGCCTGGATCTGGTGTCTGCTGCAGAAGTTTTCCTGCATCCTCTCCCGGGTCCCAGCAGGAAATGTGGGAGGAGAAGCAGCAGCAGACTCCTCTGGAGCTTCTCTGTCCCTCTGTTGGCAGTGTTGTCCCAGACAGAGTCGGTGCCTGTGCCAGGCACTGAGCAATGTGGGGACACAGAGGTGGCTGTGGCAGGCTGGGCAGGGCACTTCCAGCACAGCCAGTTCAGCTGCTGTTCAGAGCTGCAGCCCAAGGATGCCCATTGCCTCCCTTTCCCTGTTTTCTCTCCATTTGTCTCCATTGCAATCCTTGCTTCTGTGCCTTCCGGTTTTGGCTTGAAGTCATTTCTCCTTCGTTGCGCTCCCTGCGGCCCACTCTGCTGCCTCAGGAGCAGCCCTGTCCCTGAGGCTCTGTGCATCCATCTTCCAGATCCGGGCCCTGCAGGACGCAGTGCTGCAGATGGAGGCTTCCCAGGCAACTCAACAGAAGCAGCTGCTGAAGGAGCTGGAGGAGTCTCGAGCAGGAGAACGCTCTGTGAGGGACTCTGTGCACGTGCTGCAGGCTGAGGTGTCTGAGCTGCGTTTGAAGCTCCAGAGCTCTGATGACAAAGCTCTTGCCTTGGCCATACAGTGTGAGGCTGTGGAGCTGGAGCTGAGGAAGACACAAGCTCAGAGAGACAACCTCAGAGCCCGCAACCTGGAGCTGCAGAAGGAGTTGGAGGAAATTGAACAAGGTACAGCTTCTCCTCTCCCACTCACTGCCCCATGCTGTCTCACCAGCTGAGGAGCTGTAGCTGGATGCCTCAGCTCCATTCCCCCCAAACTCCAGGCCCTACCAGAGCCTCCAGGCTATTGGCCTCTCTGGAGCAGGGCTGCACAGGCATCCCCTGTGCTTTGTCTCTCTTGAGTTGCTCACTCTGCACAAGGCCAAGAACAAACACACTCTCCTATCCCTCTGAACCTTGCCCTTTTCATTCCTGCCTTTTTTTATGCCTGGAAGTTTCCTTCATTTCTGTCAGCTTTGGAGTCTTTGTGGGCTTAGGGCCTGGTAAACACAGGCGGGTAGAGAAGACAGTGCTCTTGTTTCTGCAGGATGCACATCAGTTTGCCTTTCCTTTGCTTGCCTCTTTCTCCTTCTCCTTTCCCCTTTCCTGCTGCAGATTGGTGGAAGGAGGAAGTCAAGCACATTTCTCGAGAAACTGCCTTGGAGAAAGAGGCCACTGAAAGGCAGGAAGAGGCTGTGGCTCTTCGACAGGAGGTGGCATCTCTGAGGAGAAAATTGGAAAAGCTGGAGAAGGAAAGGAAGGATGTGCTGGTGAGATTGGCAGATGCCACAAAGTGCCATTTCCTAGCTATGTGTTTGGGCCTTGTGTTAATAGTTCTAAGGAGCAGCTTTTCCCAGTTTAACTTTTCTAATTGCAATCTTCTGAATAAGGAGGAGAAGATGTTGTAGTCATGGCAAAGCCAGTTAATGCTGAGGCTGCTGATTTTCCTCCATGCTGGGCTTCTGTGCCCTAGAAATGTCTTTACTTCTCAAGGTCCTCAGTGTCCCTACTGACATTGCATGGTTTGGGGAATTCCTGGTGTCCAATCCCATGTTCAGATTTCTAACTATCTGGATCTGGAATGAAGGGGAGAGTCCCAAGTTTGCTGTTAATAGAAAGGTGTTTGGCCTTGGCCATGGGAGAGCAGCCAGTGGGGAGAGAGGAGAGGAAAGCCAAGTGCTGATCCCCAGCAGGACGTGTGCCTGCAAGGGGAGAACTGGTCCTGAGTGGCAGCAGAGAATGACAGACTGATCTGGCCATTGCTGCTCCCAGAGAGGGCAGTGGGGCTCTGGGGCATGGAGCCATGGGAACTCTACACAGGAGAGGTGGAAAAGCACTGCTGTCAGCCCAGCCCCAGGGAATGAAAGGCTGCGGCTGTTTGCTCTTCCCTTCCTCCCTGATGGAGAGCACATCCTCGTGGCACTGCCTGAATCCCGCTTAGCGGGCACTTGAAATCCTGGCTGCAGTTCTGGCAGCTCCTCCCCAAAGGAGCCCTGGAGTGGAGCTTCAGGAGGTCAGGCAAGGGCAGAAGGGAAGCTGGGATGGGCTGAGTGAGCTGGGAAAGATGCAGCATCAAGGGGGGCCCAGCAAAGCTCTGCAGCATCCCAAGAGGCACAGAGACAGGGGCAGCCTGTGCCTGCCCCTGCAGCAGGAGTCCAGATCTGGTTTGAAAAGCAAAGTGAGAGAGGGAATCAGGGAGCCTTTTTCTCTCTGTTTTGGCAGCATGAACAGGAATTGTACCAGCAGCAGATGAGATATCTGGAAAAGAAGAATAAAATGGATGTACTCAACATGCAATGTCAGCAGGAAAGATTTCAACACTTGGACAGTGAAAAGGAAACCATGCAGGAACATTTGGAGCATGGGGCTGCTGTTTTGAAGGAAGGAAGAGGGAGCACTCTGAGTGCTGCACTGGCCAAGTTGAAAATTGCCAAAGTGGCTCTGCAAAAACGCTTGGCCTCCCTGAAGGGAAAGACTTCTATCCAGTCTTGCACTGGCATTGATCTTCAGTCCACTGCAACATGCCTGAATTATTCCAGAGATGTTTTCCATGAAGAGGTGGGTCTCTATCCCTGTCAGTCCCGTTGGGTAAAGCAGCCTGGGCTGCAGCAGGCAGCCTTGTCTGTCTGCCTGGCTCCAGCCAGACACCATTGACTGCCAGATTGTTTCCTGGTATGCTGGAATGACTGATCCAGCTCTGGAGCTTGCTGTTCAAACCAGCTCCAGACCAAAAGCTGGGCATGGGGAGCTGCTTCTCCTGTGCCCACAAAAGGGGAGGCAACACGTGGGGGTTTGGAATTGCGTATGGGAGGGAATAGAGCAGCTGAGCAGAGTGATGAACTAAACCCTGCTGAGTTTTGTACCGAGAGGGCTGAACAGCAGCTGCACTGCTGGTGCTTCGAGGATGCTTCCTGAGATGGAGATTTCTGAGGGACAGCTTCTGTGGTGTTTGAAATATGGGCATCATCTCCTCTCTGAACACCCAGCAGGCTGTTGGAGCACAAGAGGAGGAGCTGTTAGGTGGCTCAAGGACCAGCCTGGAATCTAAGAAACCACTTGCATCAGCAGAGAAGGAGAAGAGAGAGAGGCCTGAATTATCCACTGTGCCCAGGAGAAGTGGCCAGCAGGTAAACTGGGCTTTCACTGCCTCTGCAGAGCCTCAGGCTCCTCTGGAACAGAAGCCTGTGGTGTCAGGAAAGAAGAGTTAGAGGAGTTTCAAGGCCTCAGCATTGCTTGAAGGCTCATTCTTCCCCTGGGCTTGGTTTCCCACATTGTGCTCTGCTCCATGTGGAATGCTATCATGTTTGGGAGAGGGAGAATTTGCTCCCTGACCTTGGGCTGCCTTTCCAGGACCATGCTGATCAAACATCTCCAGGCCAAAGCTGGGCATGGGGAGCTGCTTCTCCTGTGCCCACAAAAGGGGAGGCAACACGTGGGGGTTCAGATTCTGTGTGCAAAGGAATGGAGCAGCTGAGCAGAGTGATGAACTAAACCCAGCTGAGTTTTGTACTGAGAGGGCTGAACAGCAGCTGCATTGCTGGTGCTTTGAGGATGCTGCCTGAGACTGAGATTTCTGAGGGACAGCTTCTGTGGTGTTTGAAATATGGGCATCATCTCCTCTCTGAACACCCAGCAGGCTGTTGGAGCACAAGAGGAGGAGCTGTTAGGTGGCTCAAGGACCAGCCTGGAATCTAAGACACCACTTGCATCAGCAGAGAAGGAGAAGGGAGAGAGGCCTGAATTATCCACTGTGCCCAGAAGTGGTGAGCAGGTAAATTGGGCTTTGGCTGCCTCTGCAGAGCCTCAGGCTCCTCTGGAACTCTGCACCTTAGCTCAGGCAGTGCTTTGGAGACCTCTGCTTGTTGCCTTGCCTCTCCCTGTCCCTGCTGTGGCACACCCCTTTGTTTGTTCTCTCTCTTGTGGCAGCCCATGGCTTTCACAAGGGCACCTTCACTGTGCTGCCTCCCTCCCTGGCCCCGTGTCCCTGCACACACACACTGGCCTCTCTTGCACAGCCTCCAGCGAGAGCTTTTTGCCCCCAGTGTAGTCTGGTGCACTTCAGGGTCTCAGAGCAGGGATCTCCTTGCCTTGATGTCCAGAAGTCCTTTTGCTCCATGTTTGCTGACAGGTTTCTGTGACCCTCTCTCCCATCCAATGTGCAGGTGGACCCTGAAAGAAGAAGAATCAGAACTTTTAGGAGAGTGTTCCCCCCAGACTACTTTACCTTGCCTATCCATGAGTCTGCCGATCGAAATTGGTCGACTTTTGAAATAGAAGAGTCCTCCAGTATCTCAGAGGAGCAGCAGCCCTCGTGCTGAGGCACAGCCTGTGGAGAAAGGGGTCAGTGGCCCAAATGTGTGCTTTGGAAATCAGAGCTGGGTTCCTAAATCCCTCTGGAAGTCTTTGTAATAGACCTGTGGTGGCTGAGGGATGTATGTGGGAAGGGTTTGGCAGCCTGGAAGTGGACTTGTTGGTGCTCTGAGCTCTGTTGTGTCTGGGAGCCTGTTCCTTTGCCCTTGCCCAAGGGCAGAGTGTTGGTGAGGGCTGGAGTTGGAGGCTGTGTCTGCCCCGAGAGGCGGTACCGTGGGGCTGCAGGTGCTCCTGCCAGCGTGGGCTTGTCTGAGCCGGGCCTTGTGCCTCTTTCAGGTGGCCCTGCTGCAGTCACAGCTGGCCCAAGAGCGACAGCAGCACCTGGAGAGCTGTGCAGGGAGCAGGCAGGAGACACAAGGTGCAGAAGGGACCTCCTTGCTTCCTGAACGTCTCAGAGAGGAGCCAGGCTGCAGCTGGATGCACTCTTAGACTTAGTCAGTAGTTTATGTTTAAAGGATGGTATAGGTGTAATTGAACCTTTATACAATTGTGTTCCATAGGATAAAGGATATATTTATAGGAAAATAAAGAGTTTATTATGATCATGATTAAACTAAAAGATCTTTATCAGGGTTATTTACTCCCCAGTGCAGAGACTGATAACTTCCAGTATAGTGCATTATATCTGAAGTAGCATTGAAGCAATCCCAGTCCAGCCAGCAAAAACCAAGTCTTAATTAAAGATTGATGCTACTCACCCAAACCAATGACCATGGGCAAACATTTCTCTCAGCCTCAAGGCGTGACCTTGAGGAGCATCCTGACTCCAGGGAGGAATCTGCAGAAGGGAGACATGTGCCATGAACCACTTTGGTGAGGGCAGGAGAAACCTGCCATGTGTGGAGCTTTTTCATTTGTCCTCAGGAAGCTGCAGCCTGTTTGTTCTCAGAGTCACAGAATCTCAGGCTGGGGGAGGCTGGAGGCACCTCTGGAGGTCACCTTGTCCAGGCCCTGCTCCATCAGGGCCACCCAGAGCCGGCTGCCCAGGATGTGTCCAGGTGGCTTTTGAGTCTCTGCAGGGATGGAGACTCCCCCAGCTCCCCGGGCACCTGCGGCAGTGCTCGGCCACCCTCCCAGTGCAGAAGTGTCTCCTGAGCTCGGAGGGCCCCTCCTGTGGGTCACTTTGTGCCCGAGGCCCCCGGGGCTGTCCCTGGCGCTGTCCCCTCTGCAGCCTTCCCCTGGCTTTTCATCCACAGGGATGAGATGCCCTGAGCCTGCTCTGCTCCAGGCTGGGCAGGGCCAGCTCTCTCAGCCTCTGCTCATGGCAGAGACGCTCCAGTCCCTCCATCAGCTTCATGGCCCTGTGCTGGACTCTGTCCAGTCTGTCCCTGTGTCCCGTCCTGGGCAGCCCAGCTCTGGGCCCAGCACTCCAGGGCTGGCCTCACTGGTGTGGAGCAGAGGGAAAGGATCCCCTCCCTCTGCCAGCTGTGACACAGCTCCCAGTGCAGCCCAGGACGCTGTTCTGCATTGCTGCAGGAGCACATTGCTGGCCCATGGGCATCCTGGTGTCCAGCAGAACCTGGGCAAACTTCAGTTTTCCAACTGGGTGGCCCCCAGCAGTCACTGCTGCCTGTGGTTGTTCCCTGCAAAGAACAGGACTCAGCACTTGTCATTGGACTGTCCCCCTTGCTGAACTGTCCCTCTGCATGGCAGCACTTGTCTCTGGCAGATCAGCCACTGCTCCTGGTTTGTGGGAGGGCACAGCCTGGCCCCCTCACCCAGTTTACTGACAAAGGACTCAGGAAGGACTGGGCTCAGCATTGTCCTTCCAGGGTCCACCGCTAGACTCTGTGCCACTGATCACCAGGGATCCAAGAAGGTAGAGTCTGCACAAGGCATCTTGGCTTGTATGTACTTATTCAAAAAGATTTGGCAGGATTTACAACAGAGATTTCTGCTCCATATCTTATGTGGGAAAAAATGGATGATCCATGCTCCCTCTCACTGGTGGTGGGTAAAGTGGTCCTTTTGTTGGTGGCAGTGGATGTCACCTGCACGGGAACTGTGCCAGACTGGTGTGACATACTGTGGGAAGGAGCACTCTGAGGCAGGTAAAAGCTGGGCTGTAGAGATCATTCAAAGACTATTCTTCGAGCCATGGAAGCCCCTGTGTTGTGAAGATCAGGAACAATTCCTTGGCAAGGGCTGAAGCTGCACATATGTGAGTTCCTTTACCTCCTAGGTCAATTTTTCCATTAATGATTGCAGATTGTCCTGGTTGAAAAGACAGATGTCTTCCAAGGATGCTGGGAATCTTTCTGGAATGGAGAGATAGCCCCCTCCCTCCAAATCATTATAACTTGAAATTGCAGGGCTTCCAGGCAAAGATATGGGAAGAGAAATATCACTTCTTCACTAGAATATACATATATATATATAGATATATATATATATATAGGTGAGGAAGAGAGAAGAAGCAGCAGCGCCCCCAAAGCAATGCCAGACTCTTCCCACCCGTTGAGCAGTTCTGCCTTTGCTGTAGTTCTGACCACAGCCGGCAGAGGGCGCTGTGAGCTGAGGCCAGGCAGAGTGGCTGCAGTGACTCTGCCCTGGCTCCAGGGGGCGCTGTCGGCCCAGGCGGCTTCAGGGGCCACGGCTGCGAGCCCTGAGCCAGCCCCGGGGTGAACGGCAGCCTCGGGGACACAGGGAAGCTGGGGCTCTGCTTTTCCCAGCTTCTCACCTGGCTCTTGCAGTATCCTGGCCATGGCAGCTCTGCTCTGGTTCCAGCCAAGCAGCCCCTGGGGCTCCCTCTCTCCAGAGAGAGAGAGAATAGGTGGGGTGGTCCCGTTTCCCCTCAAGCACCCACGCAGATGGTGAGGATCTTCCTTGGTGATGGCGAGTGTGGAAAAGTCCCCGTCAACCAGCAGCTGCAGCAACCAATGGGCTCACATATGGATGGCAAGGAGAATCCTGAAGCAGTGCCAGGTCCATCACCAAAAACTGCCCAAAGTGCCCTGCTCCTAGCATGGCCAGCTGGTTCTTCCCTTGGCAGGCCAGTGCCCAACACTGCTCTCCCTCCCTGGAAGTTTCCAGTGGAATGGGAGAGTCATTGGCCAGTTCTTTTGCATCTCAGTTGCCCCACAGGCAATTCATTCCCCACAGGTATCAACTGCCCTCTCCTCACCACATCCCCCTTTTCAGGTAACAAAGGAGAGAAAATTCACCAAAAAACCACCCCAAACACACAACATTTTCCACCCTGACTTTTTCCCCATACCAACATGTTACATCAAACTTTGACTTTTAAACTATATACATCCATACATTATCCTAATTGTATACATACATACATACATACATGTAGATATGGATACAGGCACAGTGTCTTGGGCAATTCACCCCACAAACAAGGTCCCCTGGAGATATCCATTGTGTTGATCCATCTTTCTGCATCACCCACCAAGTCCAATCCAGTCCCTGAGCAAAGACAGGTGGGTTTGTCTTTGCTCGAGGCAGAATTAATCCCAACAGTCTTTCCTAGCACTCCTCTCATGTGAACCACCAGAATTTTGTCTCTACCCGCTGTGCACAGGGCTTCGCATTGGGCATGGCCAGCTTGGTTGGTGGAATCTCTGCTATTAACTAACCATGCAGCCTTTGCCAAATGCAGCTCCCACTGCCTGAGGGTCCCATCCCCCCATTGCCTTCAATGTGTTTGTGAAGAGTTCATTGCACTGCTGACCTTTCCTGGCCGCTGGTGCACGGTAGGGAATGTGATATACCCACTCAGTGCCAGGTTCTCTAGCCCAGGTGTTGATCAGGCTGTCCTTGAGATGAGTCCCTTTGTTGGACTCAATTCTCTCACAGGTACCGTGCCTCCAAAGGACCTGCTTTTCAAGGCCCAGCATGGTGTTCTGGGCAGTGCCATGAGGCACAGGGTAGGTCTCCAACCATCCAGTGGTGGCTTCTACCATTGGGAGCATGAGGCACTTGCCTTGATGGGCTTGAGGCAGCGTGATGTAGTCAATCTGCCAGGCCTTGCCATATTCTGTTTGAACCATGGCCCCCATACCAGAGGGGCTTCATCTGCTTAGCTTGCTTGATGGCAGCTCACGTCTCACAATCATGGATAACCCAGGAGATGCTGCCCATGGTTACATCCAGCCCTGGCTCTTGTGCCCACTTAGAGCTGGCATCTCAGCCCCGATGGCCTGAGGCACCATGGGCCCATCGAGCTGGGAACAACTGTCCCTTGTGTTGCCAATCCAAACCTATCTGTAACACCTCGATTTTTGCAGCCTGATGCACCTCTTCATTCTTTCAGTGCTCCTCATTAGCTCAACTCTGGGGCACGTGGGCACCCACATGACAGACTTTCACAGGCAGCTTCTCTACCCGCCTGGCAATGTCTTGCCATTTGTCTGCAGCCCAGATTGCTTTTCCCCTATGCTGCCAATTGGCCTTTTTCCACCTTTCCAGCCAGGAAAGGCCTCCACAGAGCAATGTCTACCATCCATGAGTCAATGTTTTCTTCTTGTTGGTCGGTGGAGACATTGCTGTGATCTTGTTGATTACCTCAGGGGTATCTGGCATTGTCTGTCCTGCCACTTTACTCCCAGGAACTGGACCTCTTGGACAGGTCTCTTGACTTTGCTCTTTTTGATGGAGAAGCTGGCTTCCAGCAGAATCTGGATGATTTTTTCTCCTTTCTCAAATACTTCCATTTCCCAGTTCCCCACACAATGATGTCACTGATGTACTGCAGATGTTCTGGAGCTTCACCCTTTTCCAGTGCAGCCTGGATCGGTCCATGGCAGATGGTGGGGCTGTGTTTCCACCCCTGGGGCAGTTGGTTCCAGGTGTACTGCATGATTCTCCAGGAGAAGGCAAACTGAGGCCTGCATTTAGCTGCCAGAGGAATGGACAAAAATGCATTGGCAATGTCAGTAGTGGCACACCACTTTGCTGCCTTGGACTCCAGCTCGTACTGGAGCTCCAGCATGTCCGG